TCCCTTTGGAATTCTTCCTCCCTTTGGTATTCTTCTTCCCTCCTTTGGTATTCTTCTTCCTTTTGGTATTCTTCCTCCCTTTGGAATTCTTCTTCTCTTTGGTATTCTTCCTCCCTTTGGAATTCTTCCTCCCTCTGGTATTCTTCCTCTCTCTGGTATTCTTCTTCCCTCTGGTATTCTTCTTCCCTTTGGTATTCTTCCTTTGGAATTCTTCCTCCCTTTGGTATTCTTCCTCCCTTTGGTATTCCTCCTCCCTTTGGAATTCTTCTTCCCTTTGGTATTCTTCCTCCCTTTGGAATTCTTCCTCCCTTTGGTATTCTTCCTCCCTTTGGTATTCTTCCTCCCTCTGGAATTCATCCTCCCTCTGGTATTCTTCCTCCCTCTGCTATTCTTCCTCCCTCTGGTATTCTTCCTCCCTCTGCTATTCTTCTTCCCTCTGCTATTCTTCTTCCCTTTGGTATTCTTCTTCCCTTTGAAATTCTTCCTCCCTTTGGTATTCTTCCTCCCTTTGATATTCTTGGCTGGTCATTTCTTTGGTATTCTTTATAATTTAAGTCATTCACTCTGTGGTGATTAATGACTCCTTCCTATAATCACACCCAGCTGGTATTTGCTTCTTTGCATGACTGTGCAAGAACAGTCAAAATTACAGTTTAGGGGACAGTCTGGGCTTGTGAATTACCAACTCAAAGACTGTTCCTGGGCCAACTGGGTTCGTCTGTGTCATGGATGGAAGAGAGAACTGTTTATATAGAAAAGAAATAGTGACTATTCTGAAGAAGAACAACTAAAGGACAACTATGTCTATTAATGGTGACTGTGTTTTACTGATTGATTGCTGTCTCAACCACTAGTGTTAGTGGTACCCCATGTCTTCAATTAAATTTGGCCTAGCCTGAGGGGAATCATATTGGAAGCAGTTTTTAAAGTTGGAAACAATCAGTCTGGTGCTGCTCTGTGCCTTTGGATACTCTTCTTCAGAGACCTCCTGTCTCTGACACAGGATAACCTTGGGAAGGCTCGTTGACCCTCAGGAGCAGTGAACAGGACTGCTGGCCTGCCAGCTTCAGAAACTGTCTGCAAGGGTGTTTTAAAGTGGAGCTCAGGCTGGGCATGGTGGCTCGTGCCTGTAATCCTAGCACTTTGGGAGGCTGAGGCAGGTGGATCAATTGAGTTCAGGAGTTCAAGACCAGCCTGGCCAACATGGTGAAACCCCATCTCTATTAAAAATACAAAAATTAGGTGGGGCACGGTGGCTCATGCCTGTAATTCCAGCACTTTGGGAGGCCAAGGAAGGCAGATCGTCTGAGGCTGGGAGTTCGAGACCAGCCTGACCAGCATGGTGAAACCCTATCTCTACTAAAAATACAAAAATTAGCTGGGAGTGGTGGTGCATGCCTGTAATCCCAGCTACTCAGGAGGCTGAGGCAGGAGAATCACTTGAACCTGGAAGGCAGAGTTTGCAGTGAGCAGAGGTCATGCCATTACACTTCGGTCTGGGCAACAGGGTGAGACTCTGTCTCAAAAAGAAAAAAAAATACAAAAATACAAAAATTAGCCGGCCATGGTGGCAGGCACCTGTAATTGCAGCTACTCAGGAGGCTTGAATCGCTCGAATCCAGGAGGTGGATGTTACAGTGAGCCAAGGTTGCGACATTGCACTCCAGCCTGGGTGACAGAGCAAGACTCTGTCTCAAAAGAATAAATAAAAAGTGGAGCTCACTAGCAAGCTATTGGAAACAAAGAAATTGATGCAAATTATTACAGAAAAAGTTTAGGTTAGGGCCAAGCGCAGTGGCTCATGCCTGTAATCCCAAAACTTTGAGAGGCCAAGGTGAGCAGATCACTTGAGGCCAGGAGTTCAAGACCAGCCTGGCCAACATGGTGAAACCCTGTCTCTACTGAAAATACATTAAAAAAAAAAACAAAAAACAGGTGTGGTGGTGCCTGCCTGTAATCACAGCTACTCAGGAGGCTGAGGCAGGAGAATCACTTGAACCCAGGAGGCAGAGGCTACAGTGAGCTGAGATCACACTACTGTACTCCAGCCTAGGCAACAGAGTGAGACTCTGTCTCAAAAAAAAAAAAGAGAAAAAAAAAATGTAGATTAGACGTTGTATTTAGGTTAAATGTTATAAACTCCTAACCTCAGATATTCAGATGTGTGATATTTCAAATTACTGTAGGTAACTTTAGCATGATGTATTTTTTTTAACTTTTTTATTTTTTATTTTTAAAGATGTGGTTTCACCATGATGGCCAGGCTGGTCTTGAACTCCTGACCTCAGGCAATCCACCCACCTCGGCCTCCCAAAGTGCTAGGATTACAGGCGTGAACCACCGTGTCCAGCCCTCTTTAACTTTTTATGAAGGAAATTTAACAAGTATAAACCTATTAACAGCAACAAAGCCTACAATTCTCCTCACATGAAAAAGTACCCATTTATAAGCAAATATGAATAATAGATAATTAGAAATTATTCTTTTGTGTTTTCCACACTTGTATCTGGGGTGCTTTTTAAAAGTAGATTTATGGCTAGGTGCAATGATATGCACTTGTAATTCCAGCTACTTCGGAGGCTGAACAGGAGGATTGCTTGAGCTCAGGAGTTCAAGTCCAGCCTAGGCAACATAGCAAGACTCTGGTTCTAAAAATATATATATGTATGCATAGAGAGATAGATGAAAAAAATCACAAATTTCTGTTCATAAGCAAAATAAGCTCATGACTTTAAATATAATCTCTAAATCAGACTTTATGAATTCATCCTGTTCTTTTTCTTTTTTTTAGACAGCATCTTGTTCTGTCACCCAGGCTGGAGTGCAGTGACATGATCTTAGCTCCCTGCAACCTTCACCTCCTGGATTCAAGCAATTCTTGTGCCTTAGCCTCTCGAGCACCTGGGACTACAGGTGCCCACCACCATGCCCAGCTAATTTTTTTGTATTTTTAGTACAGATGGGGTTTTGCCATGTTGGCCAGGCTGGTCCTTAAAACTGACCTCAGGTGATTCACCCACCTCGCCTCCCAAAGTGCTGGGATTACAGATGTGAGCCACCACACCAGCCCCTGTTCTTTTTTTTTTTTTTTTCCCATAGAAATGGGGTCTCGCTATGTTGCCCTGGCTGCTTTTGTGCTCCTAGCCTCAAGCAATCCTCCTGCCTTGGCCTCCCAAAGTGCGCATCCTGTTTTTTAATAAGATAACATTTATCTAGTCTTTGATATGTCAGATACTACATGATGTGCTAGAATATCAGAGAGAAAAAAAGATTAAGATCACTTTTTTTCCTAGTTTGAACATTAACTCATATGACTGGGACACGTCACTTCACATCTCAGGGCTTATTTCCTTCTCTCTGACATAAGAATGTCAGGCTAGATGGTGTCATGCTCCTTTGTAGTTCCAATGCTCAATGACTGTCTGAAATTAGTTGAATTTCCCAGCATAATATGATTTTACTGGATTTATTCACTGAGAGTGTTGTAACAGTGTGCCTGAACTGAGAAGGGACAGCTTTGCCTGGGCCCAGAGATAGAAAGGCCTGGTTGGAGGCTCTCCGTTCCAGATTCCTGAGCCTCCTATTTGGAAAGGATTGCTGGCAGTTTTTTCTTATTCATAGTTACAGTCTAGAATGTCAAGCATAGAGAACGTTTCTCTAAAGCATACTATTTTTTCCTCCTGACTTCTCCCAGAAGTGTATAGTTGGAAGTGCCCTGGGGGGAAAATGCCCCAGCAGACAGAGCTGCAAGCTTTTCCCAAGGGAAGAGGTTAAGGTGGCAGTCACCAGTGCCGAAAGGTGGGAAAGGCCATCCTTGCCATCATCTACCTCACTCTTCCACATTGGGGTTTGTTCTTGAACCTTCTCTCACCTTTCTCCCTGCAGTTGGAAAGGTCTTTCAAGTTCATGAGAGAGGCTGAGGACCAATTGAAAGCCATTCCCCAGTTCTGTTTCCCCGATGCCAAGGATTGGGTTCCTGTCCAGCAGTTCACCAGGTATGAACTGGCATTTCCCCTTCCCAACCCCAAAGACTAAGGAGGGACTTAGAGATGGGGTTACAGGTGGTAGACCCCATGAGTCGGTCCTACCATTAAGCAGTCCTAGTGGGCCCTGGCCTAGAGCTTTCCCCCAGGGGTGTTTTTAAAGCTTCCCTGATGGTGGGAGTCACCTGCCCAGCCTGCAGGCCTCCCAGGCCTCCCACTCAATCTGGGGATGTGTTTGTTTCAGAAGCCCGGGGGGAGGTAACTTTTCTTAGCCTGGGAAAATTTAGGGAAACATTGCCCTTCCCTGTCCTCATCCTGAAACCTCTTTTCAGTAGCCTATCCAGCTGTTTCTTGGAGTGGGATCCATTTACATTTCTGCTTCATCGCATGTTATTAGACACCAGTGTTTTTATTACCAGATATTTCAGCATTTGGCCAGACTCAGTAGGCTGCGGGGTCCTGTGTTTAAGGGGTACCACGTTCCTTGAGGGTGGCTCAGCAGTCTTTAAGGATTGTCCAAGCCTCGGGGCTGCTGTTTCCAGACCATGCTCTGAGAGAGCTGCCCTGGAGCAGTTCCAAGAGGGTCAGAGAACTGTCCCACTCTTCAGCTGCTCCCTCCCTGAGTCACATCCCTAGATGAGCAGGCGCCACTCACACAGGCTCGGCTCCCTGAGGGCAGCACCCAGGCTCTTCCCTGCTTCAGCCACCAGAGTGAGTGACAATTGTGTTTTGTACAATGGGGCAGCTCAGATGATGGAATGACAGACAGCCCAGGGTGGAAACAAAGCACCACATTTCCTTTTAGGCCACAGTTACATTTTGGTCTCAGTCTCATTGACTTTTTTCTTTTTTTTTTTTTTTTTTTT